ATAATAATACAACCAATATATCCCAGTCTTTTATTAAAAGGGAACAAAGTTTATACTGACTTTAAGCTGATTCAGTCACCTGTAAAATCATTTAACCCATTAACCGTCGCCTCCCATCTGTAGGACGTATGTGATGCCTCTAAATTTGGAGCCTTATATTCCCACAATAGTGCTACTCTGTGCCATTACAGTTTTATATTGCTGGTTAGAATATCCCAAGGGTTAAAAAACAGCAGCTGATTTAATTCATAGTTTTTCTAGTTCTCACTGATGATTTTGGTGACCAGTTAACTGGTTAAATCTCCTTTTTGATTTATTATCACCTAGATCTAATAGATCTAATCCTTGTCTTTGTTTAGAAGAGTTCTTAAAAAAAAAGGAAGAAGAAATTGCAGACAGCAAATATTTAAACCCATAAGGTCAAACCACTTCCCCTGATTCAGAATCTACATTGAATCATGTGCTATTTCTCTGTCAGGGTATTCACTAACATTAGCCTCTCAGCTCAATTCTTGTGAATCTTGTGATTCTCCAATCCCCTTTTTCATGAAGCAAAACATTAGATCTCACTCACTTTTCTTTATTCTGTATGTGTGAAAAAATTCTGCTTTAGGATCCATATGTCGGTACCCAGCTGAATGGTATCTCTTACATAATTTACAATAAAAAACACAAAGTTTTACAACATGGGGATTTCCAATGTAGGTAAAATTATTAAATAGCTTGGCCTGAAAGCATTTAAAAGAATCTGTGATTACATGATGAGGAAAATACAGCAAGCGTTATTTTCTGAGGTCCGGAACAATAAAAGCTGTTTGACATTTCGCAGCACCGGCTGGCCTTATCAGACTACAGCCTGATTATAATGGCTTCTGCCATTTATCTGTGACTAAGTAGAAACGCAACATAAGTAGAATGAAGTCACTTCAGCTTCACTCAACAGCATCACTGTTTGACCTGTCATCATTAGGCTTAGTCGTCACTCATCGCCCACACACCGCCGCTTATGCTTCAGCAACCTGCCAGGTTCTGGGAGTACGTGAGCTTAAACGTGCACGCTGCCTCTTTAAGTGCGGTTCATTCTTTGTTTGAACAGGTCTGTTTCTTTAAACTCATCACTCACCACGTTAGGGTTGAGAATCATAAACAGGTGAGGCATAACAACTGCTTCTCACAGTGAGATTTTAAGGCGAGGCTCAATCCTGAAAGAAGATCACAACATTTTTCTTTTGCACTGCAGACAGAAGAGATGTGATTGTTCTAATGTACTCTGCCTCCATCCACTTGTTAAAGGGTAGTAGGTGGATCTGCACTGAAAAAGGGGTGGGGGAGTGGGGGTTAACAGGAGAGCTAAGTAGGAGGGCGCTGGGAAAAGCCAGACAAAAGCCGCAAGAGAATAAAACAAGGGAGGGCTTAGACAACAGGGTGCAGCTCCTTTCATGTGTCCCCTTGATGTCAGCTTGTAACAGCTGTTTTGGTGTGTTGATGACTGATGGCTACTTCCTGTTGTGGATATTTTAAAGGGACACCGTTTCAATTTAAGAAGTCTCTCAGCATGCCCAGGTCCAGCTTTCCCTGGAGGCATTTTTCTGTTTTCTGTGGCCAAGTCAGAGTCAGAGCTGAAACAAGAGCCGTACAAAGTAGACCTTTTATAAATCCATCTCCTGAGAAAAAAAAAAGCACATTAGATTCATGCAAACGAGAAAGGGTAAAACTTTATCTGAATATTTTAGTAGGTATAAGAAAAAAATAATTTATGTTTTCAGAAATAAATAAAGAAATCTTTTTTAAAACATCTCTATACATTAGAAAATTCCTATTTAATTTGACAAGTTTAATGTTGCAATTTTAAACTTTCAGTGACCTAAAAGGTATTCAGTAGCTGACAATTTGAGTAGCTACAATATTGTTTTTTAAACAAATCAGACATCAGTGTAAATATATACAATTTGAGTCTATTAAGCCCAAGTATTTATTAAGTCCACAGGAAGTTTCAAACCCCAGGACAGCTTTGACCACAATCCAGCCTACGACCATCATTGTGACCATCAGTGGGTGAATTCCTAAATGTCATGTTAAGCACTTATTTTAAAAATTTAAAAAGGCTACATACAAATAAAGGCCAATTCAATTCAATTCAATTCAGTTTATTCATATAGCTCCAATTCACAACACATGTCATCTCAAGGCACTTTACAATTCAACCAAGCCAATGGAGCTGTAGTTCAAAGAAAGGAGTCTGTTTCTGATGGATGTTTCTTCCTGTTAAAAGGGAGTTTTCCTCTCCACTGTAGCTGCATGCATGCAGTCAACAACACAATTACGTTGAATGTCTACTGCCGCAACCGGCTGCTCCATTCGGAATGAATCCTGAAAAGTCAATGACTCAATGTTAGACAGAAAACGTTTAATCCTTTGTCTATATGATTTGATTGGGTTCTTTGTAAAGTTCCTTGAAATAACGTTTTGTTATTTCAAGTCCAAAAAAACTCAGTCTGCCATTGTACTGCATTATGTTCTTTCTGTTTGCCACCATGAGAAGAGCAACAAATTCTCAGAAAGCACGTTCCAAGCTGAAGTGCTCTTCTTCAGCACCATGAGTTTACAAAAAACTTTTTCCTAAATGATAAGATAATGGTGAAAAACATAGATCTGGACCAAGTAGATCGAGCAGTGCTCAATTGTCCTGGTCACAGTGATTCTAAAAAAAGGTTTTAAAAAAAGGTCTAAAAAAAAAAGAACTGTGGTTTTTCAATTAAAAACTATTCCTTCTTGATTCAATGGGTTGTCTTGATTCAAAGCAAAGCAAAAGCAGGTAGAAGTTCAAAGCTGTGGCAAGTGGGTATTGCTGTTGCCTTATAGCAGGAAAGTTCTGGGTTTAGTTCCTGGCCCAGGGTCGTTCTGCATGAAGTTTGCATGTTTTCCCCAACTGGCTTGCCAAGAGATGTTTGGCGAAATACAGGAAGGTATTAGCTCATTTCAAACTGCGTAACAGTCTTCATAGGGAGCAGCGTCTTTTTGAGACTTCCGCTGTTTTTTTTCTCTTTAAAGGTATATCCCCTCCTTCTTTTCTTTCTCAAACTGTCTACTGTATCCTCCTCATTCACAAAGAATAGATATAAGAGTGGCTTTTATGCTTTAGGCTAAGCCAAAGCCAAGTCTAAAGAGCAAGCTCTGCTGTGTTGAGTCATGTGTCATTTAAGATGTTGTTAATGTTCTTCTTTAAAGAAGTCTGGATATACAAAAACATTTCAATCATTTGGGACTTTTATCCTGGGAATGAACCAACCTCTTAGCATCCACTTATATCTGAAATACATGGGAATCCTGTGTTTGAACAAAATTCTTTCAGCATTGGGATAGCAGTGTTTTCATGTTTAACATTCTCTTTGTTTCATTTAGCTGTTTGTTTCCTTGCTACTTGGACAAAATAAAAAAAGCTTTGTTGATGTGGTTTTGTTGTTTTTCTTTCCCTTCTTTCCTTTGCCAGGGAATGCTTGACTTGATGTTATGGATATCTGATGACAGAAAGTTTGCGTTCCAGTGAATGATGAGAGTCAAATGTCCATCAATGTGTTTGAAGATTTGTTTCCCATAAGCCTCAATGTTGAGGTTTCCACCTCTTTTCAGGTGTTTTAAAAGACTTGTTGTTATTGCTCACTTTTTGGACCTTCATGTTGTCATCTGCACCCCTTTAATGATTTCAGAGATCTTTTTTTCCACTTCCTTAGAATATAGATTGTGCAGAACCAATGGCACTAAAGGTTTCATGGTACTCCAACTGTAAAAATTCTCATTTCATTTGAAATGAAATGATGGACAAGTGAGATCCAACAGGGTACCAATCTGATCCAGGCTGTATCTTAATTAGGCCATTCTTTGATTGATTCCAGTGGCTCTGATTTGAGTAAAGGGCAAAAGTGAGGTGACATCAGAGGATACACTTATTTCTCCTGCAGCCTGCTTTAAATGTTGAACTTTTTGGAAAAAAATCTAATGTGGTGTGTTTCAAAGAATACTCAATAAATTCTAGACAGGTGTATTTTGGGTGTACTTGTTAATAAGTTTAAGCTGCTGTCAAAAGGCCTGAGTCAACTATCCTCTTTATGTGTTTCGGAAAGCCCATATAAACAGGGTGTTGTTTCCTTTGGGTAGTAATCCATTAAGTGGTGCAAGGCTAGCAACGATCAGATGGAAATTAGCTGACATAAAATAACAATGCCATATTGACTAAGTGCATGCATGTTCACAAAAGGGTGTTGTTAAGTTGGTTGCAATTTTGCTTTTTCCAGTGTTAATTGGTTTGAGGTTGAATCAGAATATCTGTGAGTCTAATTTCAAATGTGCTATGATAAATAGTAAATCCCTTCTTAGATCCTGCCCCACAGATGACCTATTGATGAATTTAAGCAGTTACTCCTTTTGCTTGAATTGCAGCAGACCGACAAGTCAAAACTGATTAGGTTGAATCA